AAAAAAATCCATGTTCATAACAGATATTGGTCTGAAGTTTTCTTGTAATATCTTTGCCTGGTTTTAGTGTTAAGTAATGCTGTTCTCGTACAGTGAGTTAAGATGTAGGCTTTCTGCTCTTATCTTCTGGAAGAGATTATAGAGAACAGGTGTAACTACTTGAATGTCGGGTTGAAATCATCTGTGAAACTATCTGGGCCTAGTGTTTTCTGTTTTGGAAGTTTTATTAGTTATCAGTTCAGTCTCTTTAGTAGACATAAATCTATTCAGATTGTTTTTATATTTCAGGGAATTGTCTCATTTTCTCTAGGTTTTCCAATTTGTGGGTGAACTTTCATAATATTTCTTTTTGTGGTCCTTTTAATGTCCAGGGAATCTGTAGTCATAGTCCCTCTTTTATTTCTGGTACTAGTAACTTATGTTCTCTCTTTTTCTTTGTGATATGTAAATTTTTATGTCCCTTTTACCTATTATACAATAGGCACTCAGCAATAGACACTTGGTTTATTAAATGAATGACTGTAAAAAAACTTGTCTTCTCAAAATAAGTAATCTGGGATCAGGTGATATGCAAGAATTAGTAATCTTAACTCTAAATAGCTAATGTCAGTCTAAAAATTCATTACTTATTTTAAATGTAGTTTCATCTTTTATAAGGTTTACTTTCATGAGGATATGGGATGATCATTGCTTATAGATTGAGGACAGGACCATAGGCAATTTGGGGAAGGTTTCCTAAAAATGTAATCCTGTGTCTCCTAAAAGTTAAGTGATCTGATTTTTAGATATAAGTTAATGGAAAAGGGTTTCATATAGCTTATGCTAATTTGTGCCAGGTGAGAGAAAAAACATGATCGCATAATAGAATGCTTACCAGCATGGAGATGGGAGATTTTTCAGAACAAGAATTCAGGCTATTTTGGGGAAATTCAGCAAACTCTAAGAGAGGATAGGAAAACAATTCAGAAATTTACCACAGGAATTTAACAACAACAACAAAAAAATTCCTAGAGTGTGAAAACTATAGTGAATGAACTGAAAAATACAGTGGAGAGCCA